ATGCATTTGAGGCAAATGAAAATATGATGGCTTGACCCAAGCATCAAGTGCATCATGGTTCTCAAAGTGACATCTTTGCTTTTTAACACTTTGAAGAGGTCTTTTGCAGCAGATTTTCCCAATGCAATACATCCTTTGATTTTTGACTGCTGCTTCCATGGGTGTTGATTATGGATCCAAGTAAAATTGAATCCTTGACAACGTCAATCTTTTCTCCTTTTATCATGATGTTGGTTATTGGTCCAGTTGTGAGGATTTTTGTTTTCTTTATGTTGAAGTGTAATCCATACTGAAGATTGTAGTCTTTGATCTTCATCAGTAAGTGCTTTAAGTCTTCTTTGCTTTGAGCAAGCAAGGTTGTACCATCTGCATATCACAGATTGTTAATGAGTCTTCCTCCAATTCTGATGTTATCATTCTTCAAATAGTTCATCTTCTTGGATTATTTGCTCAGCTGAATACAGGTTGAATAAGTATGGTAAAAAGGTACAACTCTGACACATGCTTTACCTGCTACCAGCCACTCCTCGAAAGGAAGATTGGTCAATCTACGTCCATAGAGACACCACCTCGGAAACCTAATGAGGGATCGCTATGAGTTGGAATCAACTTGATAGCAGTAAGCTTGGTTTTTTGGTTTAGTATTCCCTTGTTCTGTTTGAATGACTGCCTCTTGGTCTATGTTCCACATGAACACAATTAAGTGTTCTGGAATTCTTATTCTTTGCATTGTTATCCATACTTTGTTATAATCCACATAGTCAACTGCCTTTGCATAGTCAATAAAACACAGGTGAACATCTTTCTGGTATTCTCTGCTTTCAGCTAAGCTCCATCTGCTTCAATTTCTGGCAGTTTCCTGTGGATGTGCTGCTGCAACCATTTTTTAATTATGTTCAGTAAAATTTTCCTTGTGTGTGATATTAATGATATTGTTCAATAATTTCTGCATTCTGTTGGATCACCTTTCTTTGAACTAGGCACAAATATAGATCTCTTCCAGTCAATTGGCCAGGTAACTTTTCCAAATTTCTTGACATAGATGAGTGAGAACTTCCAGCATTGCATCTGTTTGTCGAAACATCTCAGTTGGTATTCCATCTATTCCTGGAGCCTTGTTTTTGGCCAATTCTTTCAATGAAGCTTGGACTTCCTCCTTCCATACCATCAGTTTTTGATCATGTGCTATCTCCTGAAATGGTTGCCAGTCAACCAGTTATTTTTGATGTAGTGACCCTGTGTATTCCTCCCATCTTCTTTTGATGTTTCCTGTGTCATTCAATATTTTGCCCTAGAATCCTTCAGTATTTCAACTTGAGGCTTGAATTTTTTCTTCCTTTCTTTCAGCTGAGAAGTGCCTTCCTTTTTCTAAAACACCTTCACATATATTTTTTCAATTTCTCATCACCACAGTTTTATGAAGCAAGTAAGGAAGGACTCATCTCATGAAAAGACAAGACAAAGACAGAAAGAGACCAATAGTTGTAACTTAGATGGCCACTCACAAACTTTAAAGACTCCAGTCATTACTCACCAAAGTAGGATGTAGAACTTTGTCTTTATGGACTATGTTATGCCAATTGATCTAGATGTTCCTAGCCCTCAAGCCCAGTATCTCAGTCCTGGGAGGTGTTTGGTTATGGCTAAGAGGTTTTCGTGACTAAAGCCTTTGTGTGCTCTATTATATACATGGATATGTTTGTGGCATGTACAAATATATAGGAATATCCACTGCCAATCCTATCTTCGCACATGGGTGTACTCCCATATGCCCTCCCACCCCTGTTCATCTTAGGAACTATCTATGTATTCACTCATACATTGTTATTACTATTGTTGCAGGATTGTATATTAATAGTATTTACCATTATTGCCTTTTACTCTTGCGTATCTTTCACTGTTTTTGCCTTGCTTATGTTGTGCTGACTTCCCATATTGTGTATTATCTTTCCTTTCACCAAAGTTAGCACATGCCTACTATCTCCTAAGTGATTTTGCCACTCTGGTCCCATCCCTGATAACCATCAAAGAATGTTGCTTTCTGTGAGTAAACTTTTCTTGACTTTTTATAATAATGGTCTCATACAATGTTTCTCCTTTTGTGATTGAGTTATTTCACTCAGCATAATGTCCTCCAGGTTCATCCATATTGTGAGATGTTTCATGGATTTATCCTTATTCTTTACATTGTGTAATATTCCATTGTGAGTATGTACCAAAGTTTGTTTATCCATTCATCTGTTGGTGGGCACTTAGGTTGTTTCCATATTTCTGCTATTGTAAAGAATGCTGCAGTGCCTGTATGACCATGATACCAGAAGAACTAGCTAGATGTGCCCTGCTACCACTGTCAACCACTTGGAAAGGGATCAGTGCAGGAGATCCTGAACAGATTGGGAGAACAATGTGGAACAAAACTCAAAATCATAAAAAAGACAAGGTTTACTGGTCTGATAGAGCCTGGTGAGACCCCCGAGATTATTGCCCCTAGTTATCCTTCAGGTCTGGAATTGAACACACTCCCGTGGTTTCCAGCCAAACAACAGACAGGTATATACAGTGAACATTTACATCAGGTAGATATACTCCTTAGAATGCTTAATCATAGAAGAACAGAAGGGCAGTATGTGCACAGGGAGAAAGTTTTGGGCCAGCAGTGCATAGAAAAGGACACAAGGAAGAGATAACTATGTGTGGGGGGGGGATGTAGGGAGAGACCTGTTACATTGTGGGGAATTGCTGTCAATATTATGAAACAAAATATGTATGAACTGGTGAATGGAAAATGAATTTGCTTTGTAAACTTTCACCCAAATCACAATGAACATAAAAAGAAAAAAAAAAAAAGGCTGCAGTGAACATGGGAGTGAATATGCCCATTCCCATCATAGCTTTTATTTCTCTAGGCTATATACCTGGGAGTGGGATTGGTGGATCATAAGGTATTTATATTTCTAGCTTTTTTAGGAAGCTCCTTACATTTTCCATTGTGCTTACACCATTTTACATTCCCACCAGCAGTGCATAAGAGTTCCAAATCTCTGTAAAATTTCACCCAAATTACAATAAAGAGTAAAGAGAGAAAAAAAAAAAAAAGAAAAAATAGAAGTTCTAATCTCTCCATAACTTCAGCGGAATTTGTTGTTGTTGTTGTTGTTTTTTTTTTTCATCAGTGCGATTTTTGCAGAGAATTTTTGCAATGGAATCTCATTGTAGTTTTGAGTTGCATCTTGTCTAATGGCTAACAATTGAGAGCATTTCGACATGTATTTATTGGCTGCCAGAATGTCTTCTTTGGTGAAATTTCTGTTTGTTTCCTTTTTCCATTTTTAAAATGGATTGTTTATCTTTTTGTTGTTGAGGTCTTGGAGTTTTCTATGTATTTTAGAGATTAGAACCTTGTCAAATATGTCACTGCCAAAACTTTTTTCCCAGTCTGTGGGTTTTCTTTTTACCCGTCTGGAGAAGTCTTTTGATGAGCGTTAAGTATATGATTTTTAGGAGGTACCGGTGGACTAGTTTATCTGCTGCTGTTTGTGCATTTTTAGTTAGATTTGATAGTCTATTTGTGCCATAAATTAGGGCTCCTATGTTTGTCTCTATTTTGTCTTCTAAGATTTTTATAGTGTTAGGTTTTACATTTAGGTCTTTGACCTTATTTTGTGACCAGTGAGTCTGTGAAGACTTAGTACGGCCTTTTTGACACAGGAGAGAGATTGAGGGAGCTCTGGTGGCATAGTGCCTAGGGCAAACCCCCAAACCACTCCTCTGAAGGAAGACTGGATGATCTACTTCTGTAGAGACACGGCCTGGTCACTATGAGTTGAATGGACTGAACAGCAGTGAGTATTAGAACAAGATGATATTCCAAGTTTTGATCATTAGATAGTCCTCCATTTGGTGAAAATTTGCATGTGTATCTTTCTTTAAAAGTCTCTACCACCCTGAAATGTTTTGATTTTGAGTTTCTCAAGAATGTAATACTCTAAACCAAAAAAATTCAAAACCCACTGCCATAGAGTTGATTCCAATTCTAGCAAACTCCATTGGGTTTCCAAACCTGTAAATCTTGAGGGAAGTAGATTGCCTCATCTTCCTCCCAAATCCTAAAACTGAAAAGCTTGAGGGCTCTAAAAAATTGTTCTTGTGAAACAGCTTTACAAAGGGAAGGTAAAGCTGTGGAATAGCCAGTCTCTGTTTCTTCTCCTTCCTTACACACCCCACCTCCAATAGACTATCCTGTTAAACTTCAAAATATTTAAATGTCTAGTGGGAAAATACTTTGAAAATTATGGTACAGTCATTCTTGGAATATTTTATATTATGCATGCAATTAAAATGACATAGAAAAATGCTTAGTATGTAAGAAACAATGCATAACAACAGCATTGTTCCGGTTATCTTGAAATCTATTTTTGTTGTTATGTACAGTCAAGCCAGACCGACTCATAGTGACCCCCCCTTGGGTTTCCCAGTATCACTACGTAAGTAGATTGCCCCATCTTCCTTCCGAGGAGTGGCTGGTGGGTTTGAACCGCCAGCAGTGCCTTAGGCACTATGCTACCAGAGCTCCTCTTGAAATCTACACATACATAGAAAACAATGGAAGAATGACGAAAGTTAATCATGTTTCTGATTGGTGGGATAATAATATTCTCATTACGCTTTCTTTAATTTCCCCAATTTTCTAAAAATATGCATGTATTTTTATAATCGAAAAAGAAAAAAAGTTTTAAGTTCAAACGTGTCAAGCCACACCTGACGCCGCCAATTTATCTCGGAGTCGGGTTGTAGGGATGAGTCATCTCAAAGAAGAGGGAAGGGCCAGCTGGGCTTTGACTAGGGCTGGGCTTTGAAGGGGAGGGACGACCACTGGATAGGGTGGAAACTTGATCATCTCAGCTGGGGTTGAACCCGGAAGTGCTGACGGTGGCACCCCAACGGGCAAACTCCAACCGCAAAGGCTGGGTATAACTTGGCAGGCAGGCCCAACAACCGACCAAGACTCGCAGGGCCGCAACCACGCCGATCGCCCCGCCGGCCGACGTCCCATGCTAGTCCCCGCCCCTTGATTATCTCCATTGGTCCGCGGAAGCTCGTCTGGTTCTAGGGATCTGCCCTCCCTGGGGACTGCAAGAAGTGGGGCTTTCAGTCCTCCCACTTCGGCCAGAGCAGCCATGATGAGTGTGACCGGGCGGAGGAGGGTGGGGCCGTTTTCTGTTGCTGCTACCGTTGGCTCAGTCCCATTTTCCTTCCTTATGTTTCTTCTTAGTCACAGGCTCTCGGGGCCCAAAGGAAAGAGGTGGGTTATCAATTAAATGATTTTCGCTTGAGCTGGGCGCTTGTGTGAAGTGCAGACGTCTGTGCTGCTTCCTATTCCCAGGAGTCCTGTGGATTTTAGTTTTCCAGAGGTGATGTCACCACATAATCTTTCCAAGGTCCTAATGCTCGAGGTAGTTATCAGAACCACTGAAAATCAGAGATCTTTAGAGATAGGGTAGCTATATAATTTATTGTCCAGATAGGGACACCTTGGAGAGTCGAAGGGGGAACTATTAATAATTACGCTTAGCACAATAGGTGTAAATGTGAACTGTTCCAGAAACATACTGCCACCTTATTTAGCGATCACTGGATCCTAGTCCCATCTAATTTTACAGGGAGAAATTAAAAGTTTACAGGGGGGGGATAGGCTTGAGGGCTCAGGGTCACAGGAAGTTAATGACGGCTGCGACTAAGACTTAGTGTTCTCTTTAAAACCTGTGCCAATAAACAATTGTTTAAAAAATCATTGGGTAAAGTTTTATTTGCAATAAAAAAAACAGCATAAAAGAGTAAAACATTCCAAACAGTTCTGCTCCCAGAATAAGGACAGACATTGTATGTATACTTCAAATCATTAAGATAGTAGACAATTATGATTTTGGAGATTATTTTGGGTCAGTATTAACAAAGAAAGAAACATTTCTGTCTTTGATAAAGAAAACAAAAGGTTATTTTAGGAATAACGCTTATAGAATGCCCTTTTAATATGGCCTGGGATGCCAGGATTTTTAGAAATCTAAATCTTCCCTGGCCCAGTTACCAGAGAGATGCGCTGTCAGAAACCAAGAGTTAAAATGGCTATCTCCCTTAAAAAAAAAAAAAAAAAAATTAGTGTGATTTGAATGAAAGCTGTATAGAGCAAATTCATTTTCCATTCAACACTTAATACACATTTTGTTTCATGACATTGATTGTAATCCCCATAATGTAACATTTCTCTTTCTACTTTTTCCTTGTGATTACATTTCCCTGTGTCCTTTCTTATGGGTTCCTGCCCTCTGAGCTATCTCCCTGTACAAATGCTGCCCTTCTGCCCTCCCTTGGTTGATTTTTCTAGGGGTTTATCTGCCTGGTGAAATTGTTCACCTTATAGGCCTATCGTTTGGCTAGAAGCCACTAGAGTGAGTTCAATTCCAAGCAGGGAAGGTGACTAGAGGCCATAGTCTTAGGGGTTTCACCAGTCTCTATCAGATCAGTAAGCCTGGTCTTTTTTATGATTATTAGTTTTTTTCCACATTTTCCTCCCACTCTATCCAGGATCTCCTATTTTGATCCCTTTCTGAGTTGTTGACAGTTGTGTTGTTGTTGTTGTTATGTGCCATTGAGTCAGGCCGACTCATAGTAACCCCTCCTTGGGTTTCCGAGGCGGTATCACTATGAAAGTAGATTGTTCAACCTTCCTTCCGAGGAGTGGCTGCTGGGTTTGAACCGCCAGCCTTCTGGTTAGCAGTCAAGTGTCTTAGGCACTGTGCTACCAGAGCTCCTACTAGTTGACAGTATCATTTAAAAAATTTTTTCACCAGTGTATGTTAATAGACAGGGCATTGGTTGTTCACAAGTATAATTCTCCCTTCCTATGTGGGAGGCCTGGTAGCATAGTGCCTACGGCACTTGACTGCTAACCAGAAGGCTGGTGGTTCAAACCCACCAGCCACTCCTCGGAACGAAGGTTGGGCAATCTACTTCAGCAGTGATACTGCCTCGGCAATCCAAGGAGGGGTCACTATGAGTCAGGGCCAACTCGACAGCACACAACAACAACAACATGTGGGAGACAATTTCAATTCCAGCTCAGTGCAAGGCACTTGACTGCTAACCGATGGCTGGCGGTTCAAATCCACCAGCCACTCTTCGGAAGGAAGGTTGGGCAATCTACTTCTGTAGTGATAACCACCTCAGAAACCCAAGGAGGGTCCACTATGAGTCGGGGCCAACTCAACGGCACATAAAATAACAAGAAGAAGAAGCACCTCATGCACAAGAAACCACTTATCTGTCAGTGGAGGCTTGCAAGTCACTATGATGCTGTACAGTTTTCAGCAAAGCTTCCAGGCTAAGATAAACTTGAAGGCCTGAGAATCTACTTTAGAAAATTAGCCAGTGAAAACCTGGTGGATCACTAGGTTCAGTCTGCATTCAATTATGGGTATGGCACAGGACTGGGCATCATATTATTTTGTTCTATTGTATATTAGGTCACCTTGAGTGGGGGAGGAGGGCAACTCCATGACAGCTAACAACAACTAGTTAATAACAATGGCCTTGTAGAATTTGGCTTTTTTGTTTGTTTGTTTAATTAGGGACATACGTCTGAAGTTTAAAATCATTTTCAGCAAATATCTACAGAATCCAACCACTGCCGTCAAGTCAATTTTGACTCATAGCAACTCTGTAGGACAGAGTAGAACTACCCCATAGGGTTTCCAAGACTGTAAGTCTGTATGGAAGCAGATGGCCACATCTTTCTCTTGTGGAGCGGCTGGCTGGTGGGTTTGAACTACCAACCTTTGGGTTATCATTTGGGTTAGCATCTGAGTGATTAACCACTAAGCCACCTGGCCCCTTGAATATCTACAGGGAACTTACTAAATGCAAGGGGTCTAATAGGGTTTTTATTCTTATTTAGTCATTAATTCATTATCTAAATACTAGAAATGTCTTTTTCTGAAATTTACATGGTACACTCTATTAGAGCTTGAAAAACTCTAGTCCATCTACTGTGTATCTAAGTCAAGATAAATGTGAAGTACTTGCAATGCCAATGCTGTCCCATCACATTAGTTTCTGGACCTTTTTTCTCTTCAAGACTATAAGGTTGGTGATAGAGGGCAATTAGGTAGATGCCACAAGGATACAACCCACTGTCATTGAGTCAATTCCAACTCATAGTGACCCCCCTCGGGTTTCCAAGGCTGTAAATTTTTATGGAAGAAGATTACCTCCTCTTCCTCCCACAGAGCAGCTGATGGCTTTGAACTGCTGACCTTCTGGTTAGCAGCCAAATGCCTTACCCACTATGCCGCTAGGGTGCTTTCCAACAGGGATAGGAGGGTGGAGTTCTCAGATTATGTCCTAAAATGGGAGCCCCAGTGGTGCTGTGGTTAAAGTGTTCATCTGCTAACCAAAAGGTCAGTGGTTCAAACTCACAGCCACTCTGCAGGAGAAAGATGTGGTAGTCTACTTACATAAAGATTTACAGCCTTGGAAACTCTATGAGGCACTTCTTCTACTCTGCCCTATAGGATCACTGTGGGTCACAATTGACTCAATGGCAATGGATTTGATCTTGGGGTTTTTTTGGTCCTAAAAAGGGAATCTCTGGGTCGGGCAAATAGTTAACAAGCTTGGCTGCTAACTGAAAGGTTGGAGGTTTCAGTCCGCCTAGAGGCACCTCTGGAGAGAGCCCTGGTCATTTACTTCCCCAAAATCAGCCACTGAAAAAACACTATGGAGCACAGTTCTACTCTGACACATGTGAGATTGCCATGAGTCAGAAGCAACTCTACAGCAGGAGGTTAAGGAACCCTGCAACCCTTTGCAACTGATAAAGTTTTGTAATGTGAATAACTGCATTCTCTAATTTATGAGTTTATAAATAAAATAGGTTTGTAGTTCAGATACTAATGTTAATTTTTCTATTAAATTATATATAAGGGATGCTATCCCAATGAGGGAGAGGGTGACATCTCTAGAAAACATTTTTTCATAACTTCTCTCCCTCCAAATGATAGTAACTGTTATATTGAGTTCTTTCTACGTATAGGCATTGTGCTAAGCCCTTCACAGACATCATTTAATTTAAAACTTACGTGGAAACCAAGGCTAAAGAGGTTAGAAATGTGGTCCAGTATTTTTGGAGAACATTTGGTGTTTTAGTAAACTATAGAAACAGCACAACAGCACCCAACACTTTTTCATCAATGAGTTTTAAAGGGCTTAGTTCTGAAACGAACAATTTGGGTTAAACATTAGGAAAAACTTCCTGATAATGAAGAACTGGGGAGCATGGAGAGATATTCTTCACTATAAATGCTGGAGAATCACTTCTGTGCCTAGAAATGAACAGAGATGAAAAATCCTTGTGGGCATTTTCTGGGCTCAGTGGTTCTGAGAAATGGAGTTTGCCTGGTGACCAAATAGGGAACTTTCTCATTGCTCTTTCCAGCTTCTCCCCAGGTCTTCTTATTGTGAAACCATGGACTAAGCTATCTGCTGCAATTCCTACTCCTAACAAAATGTAACAATTACCTACCCCTAACTATTTGGAGGGAGCTCTGGTAGCATAGTGGCTAAGACACTTGCCTGCTAACCAGACAGCTGGCGGTTCAAACCTACCAGCCACTCCTCGGAAGGAAGGTTGGGCAATCCTACTTCCGTAGTGATACTGTCTCGGAAACCCAAGGAGGGGTCGCTATGAGTCAGGGCCGACTCGACGGCACATAACAACAACAACTATTTGGATTCTTGCTTCAAATGGAATATGTCCAAAACTAAACATACTGTCTTAGTTCTCTAGTGCTGCTATAACAGAAACACCACAAGTGGATGGCTTTAACAAACAGTAATTTATCTTCTCACTGTTCAGGAGGCTAGACTTCGGAATTCAGGGCGTCAGCCCTAGGTGAAGGCTTTCTCTCTCTGTTGGCTCTGGGGAAGGGTCCTTAGCTCTTTTCAGTTTCTGTTTCTTGGTTCGTTGGAGATCTCTTGTAGCTGGGCATCTATCTTCCCCCAGCTGTACTTGCTTGCTTGCTTAATTTGCTCTTTTTATATCTTAGAAGAGATTGATTTAAGGCACATCCTATAATATACTGCCTCATTAACATAACAAAGAAAAAACATTCCCAAATGGGATTA